CAGAGAGACTTGTCACTTAAGCCCTTTTCAGATAGACATTCTGGAACATTTGTGGACAATTCAATCCGGTTTTTAACCGGAACTGTGTTTTCAGACACACCACTTTTGTACCGGAACTTGTCCTTTCGGCTGCGTTCACACAGCAGGGAAAAGTTCCAGATGTCTGACGGGGGGGGGGGGGGGGGGGGGGGGAATCAGACTTATGCTAAGAAGAAGAAGAAAGTATCATTTCTATAGCGCCTCTCAAGATAAAATCACGAGGCGCTTAAGCATAATTCTGCGCACACTAAGACGCATAAGAGACCTGGATGATGAAGCTCAATGGTTAAAGGAATCACTGAAGCGGTGTGAAGCAGTGTGAAGCGCTCCGTCGCGCGTCTTGGCAGTACCGTAGGAGGCGAGCTGCCATGGTTTGCCGCATGCTACAGGAGCGAGCTATCTAGGTGCGCACAGCGTCCCCTGGTCCCCTCCTCCTCCCCCTCCCCCTTGTTCGGAACTCTACCTCGCCAGTCTGAAGCAGCCACCCTGTCCGTAACAAGTCCGGACCTGTTACTAGGGGCTTCGTCCAGTTAAATTCCGGAACATGTTATCCAGATGTTTGTATTCAGACACAAAGGTCTTATGGACAGAGTTCGGAACATTTCCGTTTTTCATGGTCTGTCTGAAGTGGGCTTCAGAAAATGTTCCCTGATTATGAAACTTTGGCTGAATAGCGCTTGTTCCTGTCTCCAATGTGGCGACACATCCATGAGCCATCTGAGAAGTCCAGAATTTCACATCTTCAGCTCAGACAGCGCATATGATTACTCACAAGCGTGACCCGTCAACCCGGTCTCACAGTAACCCCGGCTTTCCACGGGAGCCGTCAGCAGCACGTTACTGCAGCAGCACATCATAGCTGCTGATAGGAATCACTGTGGTCAACAGAACCTTTTCCACTGGAGCCGTCGGCAGCGCGAGTCGGCCGCGTCTCAGGAGCAGCATGTCGCGGCCTTTACGCGCCGGTTCTATTTTCTACGCGCGACGCCTCTGAAACGGGTCAAGTTCGACATTTTGGGGGAAGGAAAGACAGGAAATCGGACGCGGAAATGGAGAGAAGATCCAGAGATTTTCAGAATAAAGAATGTACTGCCTTCCGGTTGCTTTACTTTTAAAAAAGGTTATACTGCGCGTCCCCATGAGAAGTTATCACCTAGCTAGCGGTCTCCTTTGTTTTTCAGGTCCGTATTGGTGATTATAAAACGGACAGAACATAAAAACACAAACATTTTGGAGCCATGTTGTAGTTTTCTCCTGCTTGTTGTTGTGTTTACTGACGAAGTCACTCGTGTGACTTCATGCTCGGTCGGTGACAGCTGCTCCCCTGCTGCTTCGCGTCTCGTGGGAAGGGCCAAGCAGCAGTTTACGCGAGCAAGACGTGCTGCTGCAGTAACGTGCTGCTGACGGCTCCTGTGGAAACCCGGAGTCAGACTGGGTTGGGCCTGTTCAGGTTTACGCAGACAATCTTAACATAGAATTGACTTACAGATATAAAATTAATTCAGTAAAATGTAAAGCATTTTATTTAAATATCCATTCATTATTTTACAAGCACAGAGAGCCGCATCAGATGGATGGAAGAGCCGCGGGTTGTCGACTCCTGGTATAGCCTATAAAATGACATGTTTTCTCCAGAACCAGAGAGGACACAAACTCAATACATCTATTTTATTGTGAGGTAATACTTTCTCCGAATTTTGTGGTTCCGGGCGGGAGTAGACATGCACACTGCAGGTGCGGGCGGGAGTGTAACACACACGTTGTGGTTGAGGGAGGTAATGGTCAGAAATTCAGCAGGAGCGGGATGAACAAAACAGTCTTGCGCAGGGCTCTCCTGCTGCATTTCAGTCAGGGGTCGGCAACCCGCGGCTTTGGAGCCGCATGCGGCTCTTCCATCCATCTGATGCGGCTCTCTGTGCTTGTAAAAAAATGAATGGATATTTAAATAAAAAGCTTTATATTTTACTGCATTAATTTTACCTCTGTAAGCTAATTCTAATTGTAAAGATTGTCTGCGTAAACCTGAACAGGCCCAACGAGACCGGGTTGACGCGTCACGCTTGTGCGTAATCATATCGGCAATTTCTGAGCTGAAGAGGACGTCAGATTCTGGGCTTCTCCTCAGACGGCTCCTGGATGCGTTGCCACATTGGAGACAGGAACAAGCGCTATTCAGCCAAAGTTTCATAATCAGGGAACATTTTCTAAGTGACAAGTCTCTCTGAGAGACAGGGTTTGGAAAACACTCGCTTCAGTCGGAGGAATCTTCCCGCATGCGCTCTGGTTCTGTGACGCGCTCCAAGCCCCTCTCCACATCTTCAGCTCGCTGTGGACCTTATGTAGTACACGCTGACAGTGAGCTGCGCTGAGCAGTGTCCAGCTCAGATGTTCAGATGGGAATCTTTTCTTGAGTGATTTAGTGTTTCAAATTTTTTTTATGAATTCGATTAAAAATAAAGGCGCCCGGCCCGTGTCCAAGCTAATTACACAGTCATTGGCCCGAAGCCCGGCCCAAGGGCCGTCGGGCTGGGCCGACCCGAGGGCCTAGGGCTTCAGTGCAGGGCTCTACAACACACTTAGTAGCATTTCCTCCTTTTTATAATTTAAACCTCCAATCAGCTGTAGCTTTGGTACTCAAATGTTCCTCATGCAAATGACATCAACAACCACATCGTGGAAGTAGTCAGGATTACCTCCTTCAACAGGCTACCTCACCTTCTGAAGCTGTTGTTGCACTGCAAATCCACAAAGAAATCTTCAGTCATACCTCTCATGTCTGATATTGGTCATGTTATATCTTGTACGACCAGCAAAGTCTGTAATTGTTTTTTTCTTTCTTTCTGTCGGAGAACCCAACGAGCATCAAACATTTATAACAGATAATTAATGCCATTCTTTATTTCTACTGGTCAGCAGAATAGAAAAAAAACTTACTTTAACTTTTTATCTGACTGAAAAATCTGCATATTTCTGTGTGCTTGCTGCTGTCTGGTTTCTTTGAGAAACTTCTCCAGTCATTTGAAACGTGTGCACAAGGATGAGAGAGCTTTGTGTGTTCAGGCTGCTGTTTTCTCCCTGCCTCTGTTGCAGGAGGAGCATACTGATGCTACAGCTCCGGCGCACTGTTTTTATAACACGTCGGGTCACTAGCTGCCCCAGGAGACCATGAACGCACATGGCTCTGTCCTTGTCTACCTTGTTCTCATCCACAGGCATCTCTTTCAACTAAAGTTAACAAATCTGATGAAGTACCACCTGGTATCTTCAAAATTCTACTGCCTTCAGGCAGAGCGAGTATACTCTAGTGTCAGCTTTATGTGGATGAAACGCAAGATTGTGGGAGCCAATGAGTTAAACATGATGCACTCAAACAGGGAAGGGGTTTAGACAGTAGAGATAAATCCTTGTTATAATTTTCCTAGTCTGGAAAGTCATCCTATGTAGGTGAATATATAGCCTGGCCATGACCCATGCACAGATCTCAGTCGGGCGGGGATCTATGGTTGTCCCTCAAACTTTCTCTACATGCTATAGAACAACAAACAACATGACAAACTCATCGCTACAGACGGGGCAGTCCTCCATACATCAATGAAGAAGATGCAAATACATCCTTCTTTTAAATAAAGGCCTTAAGTAATAGCCTAGACCAGGGGTGGGCAATCCAAGAACTCAAGGGCAGTTATCTAGCATGTTTTAGTTTTATTCCTCCTCCAACACACCTGCCCAGCAGCTCATCATGCTCTGCAGCAGCCTGTTAATCATCAGCATATTCAAACCAGGTGTTTTTAAGCAGATAAACAACTAAAACATGCTGGATACCGGCCCTGGATAACCAGGACTGCCCATCCCGATCTAGACTGCCATTTGCCAAAGCAAAACAATTTTGCTCTGCATGTTCGTTTCTGCAGTGCTCCATTGGAACCTTCGTAGCCTCAGCCAGTTTTGTGGCTGACCAATCTCAGCATGCATATTTTTAACTACTTATTTGCATCTTGTTCCTTGCTTCTTCCACAATGTATGGCGTATTGCCCTTTTGACTGACATCCGTAGCTGTCCCGTCACAGTGCTCAATAAGTCTGGTGGGCGGGATGTCACTGAAAAAACAAAAATGGCGACGGCTCTTTTTAAATTACTTTGGCATCAACTTTGGACTATGTAGACCTAGGCTTTTCTTGAGTACAGAGCAAATAGAGATACTTAAGTTTATTTAGAAAAAGGATGTTTTTGTATCTTGTTTGACGAAGTTTGACAGAGTGCCACGTTGACTGAAATCCGTAGCGGCGATTATGCCACATTGTTTGTTATCCATCAGCATGCAGAGACAGTTTGAAAGACAATCATAGATCCCTGCCCCACGAATGAGAGCCATGAGAGCCATCAATGGACAGTGGCCAGACTATATTTTCACATAAACAGGATGGCTTTCTAGGCTGCTTAACTCATTCACTGCCAGCCGTTTCCTGATTGGTAAAGCCCTTCGCTGCCAATGTTTTTCACCATTTTTACTGTTTTTAAGAGTCACAGAACGTTGCACTCTAGGATGATATCAACGCCAAAACTAACAAAACAAAGAGTAGACTCACCTCTTCCATCAGGACGAATCCATGCATTTCGAGCGTTATCCGTTCTTTCATAACTATCGAATTGCGATCGGCAGAAACTTTTTCGGTTCGCACCTCACTTTTTTTATAGCAGCGGCCCAAAATATTCTCCTAACACATGGATTTTCTGCTTCCTGACCACGTGACCTGTGACGTATGCCAATGAAGATCGGCTTTAGAGCTGGGATGTTTGTTCACATAGTGCGGGGGCTCGTTCCAACGCCCACACAGTTAAAAAATGCAAATGAGGAATTTAGTCGTCATTGGCAGTGAACAAATTTGGTATGTTTTTGCTGTGTCTGATTTCTAATTCCATTTTTGGTTCTTTTGTAAAACACAGAAAAGGTTTATCTTTACCTTGCTATAAGTTTCGTTCATGGAACGGAGTAGGAAGTGATGCCACCATCAGCGTCAGCTCTGAGGAAGTTTGCAGCCTCGAACGAAACTGTCAGCAAGGTAAAAATCAAATCAAATCAAAGATACTTTATTAATCCCGGAAGGAAATTAGAGTTTCAGTACACACAATTCAGAGATCAGACATACATGGGCAAGACACATGACAAGAATTGGTGACTGTGGTCATTCGCAACCCTGAGTCGCGCTACCTTAATATAGATAAGAGGGGTTTACATGAGGGTTGGTTCAGGTGGAGGGGAAAAAAGGCACTTCAGAGTTACCGTCCCTCCAGGAGGGCAGCTTTGCTCTGCAAAAAAACACCTCAGACAGAGATATGCAACAGACTTCAGACAACACAACATAAGTGTCCACTGGGAGGGGTAAAAAGAAACCTTTTCTGTCTTTTAAAGAAGAACCGAAAATGGAATTGGCAGTGAATGGTTGGATTTAAAATGACGACTTGTCTCATCATTGGCAGTTAATGAGTTAAGTACCTTTATATGCTCCTGACTCAAGCAAAGCCTAAGTCCAAATAGTCTAAAAGGTGATGCCAAAGCTGTTTCAAACAAGCCATCGCCATCTTAGTTTTGCTGATTTGCAGTAACATCTCGCCCACCAAACTGAGAGAATGATGTTAGCAAGCCACAATACTGGTCTGTGCTGCTGAGGTCCCAACGGAGTGTGGCTAGACTGACATGCAGGGCACAATCCTTTTACTGCTAATACTGTCTGTCTGGATTTCTAGGCAGATTATTTACCACATCTAATGTTCAAGAGTAACGTTGGAAAACATGCATACATGGGAATGGACAAACAACAAAATTGGAGAAAATGCAAGATATCTATGATCAGCATTGGTCGCATGGGTCTAACTGAATTAGCATGAAACTCACACAAGCAGACAGCGACAAAGCCAAGATTCTTTTGATTGAAAGGCGAAGATAAAAGTGGCAGACCTCAAGGGAAAGAGAAAAGGGCAGCTGAAATGTGAGATGTCACCAAATTGTTTGATACTTTTCAACTCTTTTTTTTTTGTATATAATTTACTTGCAAGGGTAAGGAAGCTCATGAGAAAACATAAATTTCTTTTTTTAAGGCAACATCATGAGCAAAAGGAATATTAAAGGATGGGATGAGAAGAAATTGAGTTTAGAAAAAAAACATTGGGAGAGGAGAAAAATGAGAGAGTCAGACAGGGGAACTCATTAACTTCTCTTTAATAAAGCCCAAGTCACATGGGGACCCTTTCATTCCTTTATCCAACCAGTCGCGCATGCACACACACACACACACACCCACCCACCCACCCACCCACACACACACACACACACACACACACACACACACACACACACACACACACATGCATATACACTCACTCACACACACAGAAACAGACAAACGCACATAACACATACTCGTACCAGAATGATCATCTCCAGATTGCTGCACAGACTGTGATCACAACCTAAGCTCTAATCATTTGACTCACTTTAAAAATCCCTTTCCCAAAAGCTAAAAAAGAAAATCATTGGCTGTGGCGAACGTTTACTTACCCTGGAGGTTTGGCGATGTCATCCAACTGCTTTAGGTTACCTCTAACCTTCCTTTATAGTTACTGCAAACATGCAGTGCAGAAAATAAACTCCCCATGTGTTTATTACTTCAATAATTCATGAAAGTACTAGCAGTGAAGACCTTCATTATAAATATTTTGTAAGATGCACAAAGCAAAAAGCCCCTAAAGCAGCAGTACACGCCCAAGAAACTAGCAACATCTTAAAAAACATGAGTTTTTTTTTTTACTATTTACACTGTATTATTTGTAGTCACTGTTTGGGTGAAGCATTCTCTCTCCAATAGAGATGACATAGATGGTTTTATCTCCATCGGGTAAGAAGGCAGGGAGCGTAGCATTAAACCTTCATCTAACTGAACATCCATGCCTTCCCCCGGGGCCAGACAGCAAGGCTAATTTAAGAAGCGTGGGCCCTGTCAGCTGTCACTGGCATGTGAATCCACAGACACACTCACAAAGCGCACACGTGGGCATGCTTATCCAAAAACACACAGAGAGATGCATGTGCTCGATTCGACACAAAGCTAATTCCAAAATGACTGAAGTCACTGTCTGCAAGTTAAAAGCCAAGCAGCATGTTACACATCCTGCCACTGTAATGTGTGGACAGTGAGACAGAAAGAGAGAGACAGATAAGGTGTAAGAGGGGGGTTATTGATTGGCTGACCAACAACAAAATAAAGGAAAACAGAAAGTGTTGCCAGTGGCTTTTGTGGGGTCAGACACTAAAGGATAGGCAACTGCCGTAGCAGCAGGTAGGTATACTTGCTATGTTGACACTAACCTCTTGTTCCCATGATTCCTTTGATATGGATTTAACAACATGGTCAAGCACTTACTTCAAAAACTCCAGCAGACAATTTGAACACTTTCTCCTGTTTGACATTTATATTTAGGAGTCTGCTTTTCACCAAACACATTTATGTGAAGTCTGCAAAGTATTTAGTCTGAACAACTGTGGCACTCTATAGTTCTCCAGTGACCCTCTTACTGTCCAGCATATTCAGTAATTGGTGCTGCAGCCAGAGAAAAACAGGACAGGTGAAGAGTTAAAAGTCCTTTACTAAACGTGTTTATTTCTAAAACTTCAGGGTTCACGTTGGCCAGTGTTGTCAGTACTACAGATCCTGATGTAAGTTACACTGTGACCTATTTGACTTGATCCCATTGGCGTAATTTTTTTTTTTGGGGGGGGGGGGGGGGGGGGGGGGGGCTGGTCCCTCTAGTTTTCTTTCAGCATTCAGGTTTCTCGTTCACCCCTAGTCACAGTTGTATGCATTACCAGCTCTTCTCTAGGCCCTCTTTAGCCCACTGGTCCTTTACTGTTGATCTCTTTTTGTAGATTTCCTTTTATCATTCATTTAGATTAGTATTGTGTTTTTAGTTGGTTCCTCCCTTCCCTGCTTATGGTTTGGTTTGTTCATATACTTGTCCCAGTCTTCTAGTTTCAGCATACTCAACTTTTGTTTAAATGTATTCTGTTCTTTTTTTCCTTTTTTACCCTTGTGTTTCTCTTTGCTTTTTTCTTTCTGATCCTTATTAGTTATCTTTTAGTTTATCCCTCAGTTCAGCCGCTGTCTCAGTGCCCCATGTGTTATTATGTTCTTTCTGTTCAGTTTAGTTTATGATTATTACTGCTTTGGTCTGCAGTTAGTCTTAGTGTCCTTTGATTCTGTGATCCTCATTCAGGCATCCTTCCTGTTTGGTTCAGGTCATATTTCTTTCCTGGCCTTATAGCTTCTAATCTTCTATTTTGGTTTCCTGTGTTTTATCTAGTTCAGTTATTTCTCCTCCTGTTGTCTCAGTGGTTTCCTTCTCTACTCCTCAGTTTATTAGTCACACCTGCCCATTGTTATAATCAGTCATCAACACACCTGTTCCCATTGTGTCCACTCACCTCCTCAGTCCTATTTAAACCTGCTCAGTTCACAGTCCCGGTTTGGTCCTTGTGTTGATTGTGCATCCCTGTCCTGCTCTAGACCATGCTTGTTTTAAAATAAAGGCTTTTGTTTTTGAGCTTACCTGTCTGCCTCCTGGACCACTCCACTCCTTCCTGCATTTGGGTCCTATAACCTCTATCACATCATGACAAGTTGCAAAGAAGCTATTTGACGCTGAAATTTAATATCAGTGATTGAGGAAAAAAGCTAATAGTTATTGTTACAGCATCATTTGGATCCTGATGATTTCTTTGTTCTTGTGTTTAAACATGAGTAAAGATGCATAACCTGATCAACCAGTTTCCAAATTTAATGAGACCCCAACAGGTTGAGCATTTGGTCTAAACTAGTGCAGAATCTTTGCATCTCTTCTGTGTTGGCCAAGTTTCAACACATTCTCACATCTGAAGCGTAGAAAAATGGTGATGGGTGACCCAGCATTTGTTCAGGACACCCGCAGTAAAACGCAGGTTTAACTGACATTTAACTTCAACTTTATAAATTGCGCCTTACAGGCAAAAACATGCAACTAAGGCGCTACACAGACCAAATAGAAACATAAAACATTTGGTCCAGAAAATAAAAACATTGGATACAGACAAAAAACACAGTGAATACACGGATCAATTTAAGTAAAACAATAAAAACTAGTTAGTAGGGCTGTAGCGATGCCTCAATGACGTCGACGGCTCGATTCTAAAAATTTGTCGACGTCAGATCCGGTACTCGACGCACCGCGCCCACTTGTTGCATCCCCAGGAGTTTGTAAATAGAAGAGGAATCTGCATGTTTTTCCTCTAGTTCGCCCTCTTCTCCACCTTCACTAACATCTCCGCCAAATACCGAAGACCCGGAACAATGTCCGTCCGCTACTAGATTATTTTCCTGTTTTGCCCGCCTTCGTCTCCCGGCAACAACTTCCGGGGTCAGATGCGCTGCTTCGTCTCTACCGCAGCAAGGGCGTAGGAACGAGTTTAATATTGGGGGGGACACATTTTGGAAATCTAACAAATCTGTTGTAGGTCAATATATACCGTAGGTCAACTTCACTGAAAAAAATACATTAAATGATTATTTCTGATTCTAACGTGTCACTGAGTGTTTCATGCAGGCTGAACATGAACATAGTCTCCTGTCGCTATCTCCTGCATTAGCTTCTGATAGAAAATCTGATAGACGGTGAAACTCTAGGATTAGAAAAGTCTGACAGATGTGACTCAGGGCGTGAGGCAAAGCCCAGAAAGACAAGAAAATAACTTTTATAGCCCAGTTCACTAACATTCTGGGTTTTTTTTTTTTGATCGGGGACCCATGAGCCAGCCAGAAGGGGAGGAGACTTAGGCTCCTTTTGACACTGTAGACCACAACGTTCTACTAGACAGGTTAAAGGCCCTGGCTGGGATTTCAGGTTCTGCTCTAGACTGGCTCTCTTCTTATCTCACCAACAGAACATTCACAGTGAAGTCCGAAACCTTCTCTTCAGATACTGCCTCTCTAACATGCGGGGTCCCACAAGGTTCAGTTCTAGGG